TCCACAGAAATGTCACGGAAAGTCACTGAATGCTGCAGGCTATATATCAACGATTTTAAAATAAAACTGAGCCCAGCTTTAAAAAAAATAAACACTAAGATGAACGTACCTTCAAAACTTGGTTTATTTTCATTATAAAAACTGAGCAAATGTTTTCTAAATAAGTAGTGAAATTGCACATACTCTGATAAGTTAAGTATTTTAAGAATAATATATAATTAAGATAGTCTGGTATAAATTTGAATTTGACTCATATTAGATTTTCCATAACAGAAAAGCCAAATAGTAAAAATCTAAGGAAGAGATTGTGTAGGATAGCTTTCAAAACTTTACTGAATGATAGTCACCTAGTTTTGCTATAATACAGACAGGTTTCCTGGAGTAAATATTAAGTAATTCTATCAGTGAGGACAAGAATTATTACAATCATTAATAATATTACTATGAACATTATGATCACTTGAGAAAGCATATTATGACCATGTTTTTATGAGCACTTTTATTCATTCATGTAATAAATATTTTTTTATCGCTTACTATGACCCCATCATGATGCTATTGAAAGGGAAGACAGAGATAATGGTAAGATAATCATGGCTTTCAAAGAGCTTGCAGTGTGGTCAAGGCAAAATAAGATGTACATGCAACTAAATATTTAATCACAATGTTAACAGTAAGTTCTACAATGAGATAAATAAAGGACTCACTTAGGAACAGTTTTTAGCTGAACCTTCTGTGATCTGAAAATTCTCTCTTGAGAAAGAAATAGCTAAGCAAAAACATAAAAAAGGAGAAGCTTGTAGCCAGGTAAAAAAGAAAAATATGTTTCAGAGAGAAAGAAAGAAGGTGAGAAAGACCAGAATTTGGAGCATCTGAAGAACTGAAGGAAACACAATATGCTACAGAATCCTACAAAAGGGATAGAGGTGGGCCCCCATAGGAAATGAGCCTGGAGGGCAAGCAGAAACCAAACGATGGAAGGTAAGGAACGAGAACATACTCATGAGAGAAGTTTTGGAAGATCAGAGGCAAAGTAGAGACAACAGAGTCTGCTTTTAGAAGGAAGACTGACCGTGGTATGAAACAAGAATTGAAGGATAAGATTATAATTAGGAAAATCAGAATGAGGTTGCTGTATAACACAGAAAAGACAATGGTTATGGGAACTAAAGAAGTCAAAGGAAACGGTAATCCTCCTTTTCTTTGAAAAATCACATGATCTACTTGAACTTGTACATAGTTTCAGCTAGATTATGCTTCATGCCTTTCAACGGGTCTTACCTTTTGGAAGCTGGGTTTTCAGAGGTTTCTGTGATACAAGGCAAGTACTGCAAGAACTTTGGTATGAAACAGGATGTGAGTTCAAGCATGAGGAGTTGTGCAGTGTCCGGAAGGCACACGCATCCCATTAATCCATAATTCTGTTTCAGAATAAAAAAAATAAAACAATGTATTTTCAATTTTCTTGTTTATGTGGCTACTAAGTTATTAGGACATGAATGCTCACTAAGGGGCAGTATTTAAGAATCTGTTGCAGTTATTCAGGTGAAAAGGAATGATCGCTTAGATCAGATTTGTCAAGGTGGCGTGAATGATGAACGAACAGGTTTGGGTGCATTTTGAAGGCATATGCAACAAAATTCATGATCATTTGCCTGGAGTGTCAGAGAGCAGTCAGGTAGTCACTAAGTGTTTTGGTTTGGTTTTTGCATTGTAGCAAGGAGAGAAAAATCACTTCAGACCTTCCCCCTTAAATGTTATCATTGATAGGCATACATTTAACCTGCAAGAAACTGGAGCCTACTCCTCCCCCCCCCCCCCCCCCGCCACACCCTCGCCTGTTGTCCCAGCCCTTCCTTGTTTCACTGTCCCCAGCTTTAACCAACGTCCCCTAAAATTCAAAGTAAACCCTAGTCGGTTTGGCTTGGTGGACTGAGTGTCGGCCTGCGAACTGAAGGGATCGGTTTTGATCCAGTCAAAGGCAGGTACCTCGGTTGCAGGCTAGATCCCCGCCCCTGGTCGGATGCGTGCGGGAGGCAACCAATCATGGTATGTCTCTCAGAGCCACGTTTCTCTCTGTGTGTCTCTCCCACTCTCTCTAAAAATCAATGGAAAAATATCCTTGGGTGAAGATTAACAAAAAAATAAATAAATTTTAAATAAATAAATAAAAATTTTAAATAAGACTCTAGCCCTGTCCAGTGTGGCTCAGCAGATAGACCATTGCCCTGCGCACCGAAGGGTCATGGGTTTGATTCACGGTCGAAGGCACATCCTGGGTTGCAGGTTCAATCCCCAGCCCCATTCAGGATGCATGTGGGAGGCAACCAATCGATGTGTCTCTCTCATATGGGTATTTCTCTCTCTTCCCCCGCTTCCCTTCCACCCTTAAAAAAGAAAACCAATGGGAAAAATATAGTCACGTGAAGATGAAAAAAAAATAATAGGACTTTAGGGACTCACAGCACAGAGCACACGCCCAAGGCCCTCGAGCCCTCCCCTCCCTGGCCTGCCCGCCTCACCTCTGGCTCAGCCTCCACCACAGGCTCAGCCTCCTTGCTGGGGTCCTCCTCGGGGCTGAAAGCAGAGCAGGAGACACTGTGAGACCCACCAGCCCAAATCGCCCACAGGTGCTCCACCTCCAACCCCCAGGGAGAGACCCGGGAGGGGTGCATGTCAGAGACCCTGGTCTGGGCCGAAAACCCACAGCCCCCCGCCACACACACACACACACACACACACACACACACACACACACAAAATATCAGAGAGCATCTATTCTCTTGTATCACCTTCTGGCTGCCTTGCGCTCAGTTCCCTAGCCTCAGTACAAGGCTTAGCCACTGAATCTTAGTCTGTCCTTTTTGTTCTTCTCCAGTAACCCTGAGAATTTAAGAAGTTTACAGACGTAGACTGAGTTGACCGAGGAAACACTGACCTAGTATATATTCTTATCACATTTGATCCAAACTATGGCTCACGCAAATTAAATGACAACTACAGGGTGAAACCCCTAAGAGAAATGATATGACTTGAATATACTTCTCCCACCATCTATCTGTTCTTCTTTATCTGAAATAATCTTCCTTCAATTCTCTTTCAAAAATGTATAAGAAGTCAGTGTTACATGATGATTATTTGACTATCATTTTTCCCTGGGATGAGATTTTATATTAACCTTATTTTTAAAATTTAAAATATCACTTAAAAGAATACATTTGTCTTTAATCATTCAACCCCAAATGTCTGATCTAAAGCTACTTCTACTTATCTATTCTCTTGGCCCCCTTCCATAGCTAACCTTTTAACTATACTCACTATTGCTAATGACTCTCTCCATAACTTCTAATTATATTTTCCTCTAATCACTCCATCAAATAACTACCTTTCACAGTGATCATTGGTCTTTGGTTTGCAAAACCTAATGGCCAATTCTCAGTCCTCATTTTCACCCACCAGCATTATTTGACAGAGCTGGTCACTATCTCTTTTTCAAAACACTCATTCAAGAAGCTTCTGAAAAAGCACCTCATCTCAATTCTGTGTTCACCTAACTAGCTGCTTATCCTCATTATTCTTATCTCTAAATAGTGGCCCAGTGCACAAAATTTGTGCATGGAGGGGAGGTTCCCTCAGCCCAGCCTGCGCCCTCTCCAATTGGAGAACCCTTGGGGGATGTCCGACTGCCAGTCTGACCAGCAGTCGGACATTTCTCTCACAATCTGTGACTGCTGGCTCCTAACTGCTCACCTGCCTGCCTGCCTGATTGCCCCTAACCCTTCTGCCTGCCTGCCTGATCGCCCCTAACTGCCCTCTCCTGACTGCCTGATCTCACCCCCAACTGCCCTCTCCTGCTGGCCTGATCTTGTCCCCAACTGTCCTCCCCTGAAGGCCCAGTTGCCCCAACTTCCCTCTTCTGCTGACCAATTCAGGTTTGATTGGTTGGTTTCCATGCAAGTCAGCGTCAAAAGCTCTGCCTCCTAGACAGCCATGGGTTCTTCACAGCACCCACATTTGGTTCTGATTGGTCGGTTCCTATGCCAATCAACATCAAAAGCTCTGCCTCTGAGGCAGCCATTTGCTCCTCATAGCACCCAGATTATGTTCTTATTGGTCCGTTCCTATGCCAGTCAGCATCTCTGGGTCTATCAACGGGGCCTGATCAGAAAGGCGGGGCTGATCAGCAGCCCCAGTGGAGTCCTGGATAGAAATGGAGGTGTGACTGCTGGCCAGGCACAGATAGAAAGAGAGAGGCAAGTGCTGATCTACAGCTGCCACAGAGGCTCCTGATCAGACCCTGCTTCTCTTTTCAGGCCTCTCTCTGGGCCTGATTTCCAGCCCCCTCAGCAGTAAGTACTGGGTCACCTCCCTGCAGCCAGCAGTGCTGGGTCGCCTTGGCAACCCAGCTCTGACTATAGAACTTCAGGTTGGTCTGCCTCCCGTTAGTAAGGGGTCATTATGGACCCAGGGTTTTTATATATTAAGATGTTGAAGTTCTCTAAAGGTTAGTTTCCAGACATCTTCTCTATTATGTACCAGCACATAGTAGGTGCTTCTAAGCAGAAAATCTAAATGAAAAACAAAATTGAATGCCAGATGTAGATAGCAATAAAAAATGATCTAGACTAAATTCATTTTCTTAAACACTAGAGTCCATTTCTAAACTGGGAGGATCCAGATGACAAGCTGCATTCAGGAGATGTAAATCTATCTTTTCACTCCTTTATAGACTTTAAAATAGTCATGTTATTTTCAAAATGCACACTGAAAGCCAACTGGCAAAATATGTTATAAAATTTGTCTCGGGTTTATGTTTATAGTAAAATAACATTTAGGGGGCAATCATAACTCCTGTCTCCTGACAGCTGCTGTCTACACATAGATCTGCTCTAGAATCAGGCCAAGGGGTGCATTGTAGCGCATCACCATGAAATTTGATTCAAAACGATTTTTCATTAAAATGTACTCCTATTTTATTCTGACTTTTATAGTCTACTTCATAAGTCTTACATCAGATAGACAACTACTCATTAAATTAATTATTTAAATGTATAATCAAACAATACTTTCAAAGAAATGATGCATGGCATGAGCACCTTAATACTGTGTGAAACAAAAGCTTACATTATGTTGTTGGTATAGAATTCAGTAGCTAATATTAATAAATTTTTACCCCAAGAATGAAAAATATTAACTCTTCAATCTTAATTTCAGGGGCCAAAGTCATATGTTCAGTTGCTGATAGGAAAGTCTTAGCACTGCAGCAAATTTTATGACTATGCAGTGAAATATTTTATTTCATAAATGAAAACAAATTACATATTTTTAAATTGATTGCTTCTATATCAAGTGGAAAACATTGACCCAAGAAGTAATGATAACTCCTTGAAGAACTTTGAAAAATAGACAAAGCTGGTAGGGTTACTCCCCCAGGAAAGCAATAGCTGGAGGGGTGATTCAACCACCCTCCCCTGGAGCTGTGCATTGGGAGGCGGGTGACAATGAGGTGTCGGGAAGGATGACAGGCAGGTTAGGTCAGCTCTGAGACCAAGGGTAGAAGGAGGAGAAATTTTACAAGCTGTCCCAAAGCCATGTATGGTGGACTTGACTCTCCAGAAACCCCTAAATCTTCAGGGGGAGGGGGGAAACCCACAAAATTCTTGTTAGAGCTGAAACAGAAGCCAAGGATGCAGAATGCTGTACCCATGCTGGCCTTGTAGTAGACACAGAGGGTGCGTATGGTTGCAGAATCAAATAGAAGAAGAAAACTTGGTAAAGTAAGCTCTGAAATCAGAGATTTGAATTATGAATCATTTATACCTAAATATTTAAGGGGCAGTAAGTCTCCAATTGAAATCTAAATTTTATTTGGAAATCTTCATATGAGATCTTTGAACCAAGCTACAATTCCCAGTTACACCTTAAGTTTAATGTTCACCATAATACTCAGTGTAAAATGTATTTCCTCCAGGCCTATGAAACTGTTAGATGCATACACAGTGTACAGGGGTGGTGATACGATGGCATGGAAAATAACACTCCTTAAAATATTCTAGGATGAGTATTCAATTGATGGAGCAAAAAAGAGGGACAGAGTTAAAAATTGATGTTTTGTATAATGATTCAGTCATACAGACCATCGTATGATTTTATTAGAACAATTAAGTCTTTGAAGTTTCTTTATGCAATAAGCAGCAAGAGAATATTTTGGATGTTAGTTTTTAATACGGCCTCAACTGGGACTCACAAAGTCATTTAAAATTGAGCCATTTATACTAAAAGACCTGTTTGAGCTGATTAGGCCTTTGTATCCTGATTTGCTATAGAGAACAGATTTTTGTTAGAGATTAGACTTGTCTGCTATTAGGAGAATAGTTACTGAGTTCATCTTGGAGCTACTGAATGAAACCAATTAATAGCT